CACACTAAACTAGCCCCTATAGCAATCCGCTAAATTGGGTTGCTCTATATTTGTCCTTTGTCTAAAGCGTGTAGTTATTTTCTACCTGTTTGATATTTTTTTTAGCCCCTATAGAAATCCGCTAAATTGGGTTGCTCTATATTTGTCCTCTATCTAAAGCGTGTAGTTAATTTCTACATGTTTGATATTTTTTTAAACAGGCAATCACTGGAGAATCAGTTGTTTTAAGATGTGAAAGGATAAGGAGTTCATTGAACAAAAGTCTATGCCATGTTCAGAATATGGTTCCACAAATGCTAGCTGATCAGGTTATTCTTGTTCTATATTTTCTGTTATATCATGACTAAACCTCATAGTCTGGATGAATGAGTTGGGAAATTTTATTTTTATTGTTCACATTTGGCTATAATTGTTTTACTGTTGGAGCTGAAGATTATGTCGATCTAACCCATTTATAGGACATTTACAATTAGCCTTTTGTTTTCTCAAAACTTTGTTGATTAAATACTTTTTTGTGTTGATTAGAAGATTAGTTTTAAAGTCTTAACATGTTCACATCCAGTTTGGGTGAACCATAATTTAAGCTTAGGCCTTTTTTATATGGTTGACATAGAAGTCCCTTGGATCTTAATTGGGATGGATTCTTTGAACTGCAACTATATCCATTTAGATGAAAATTATTAGGATTACAATCCAAAAGCTTTGTCTGCACGTCTCATTAACTCCACTATCTAGGAAGTACTTTTGCTTAAAAGTAATTTTGTAGCCACGAGAATCCTTAAAATTAGGTCTTGGTTTCCTTTCTGATCTAAAATACCAGAGTTAATTATGGAATATTATCCTTGTTTTTAGTCAAAATTGAGGACAATAAAGTTACTCCCTGGGATTTCTCAAATACATTTGTAATATATCATTAGAATCCTTAAGAGTGGACATATTCAAACATGCCCTTAGTGAGCTTTGCTGGCAAAATATAGACAAGAAATAACTCTATTAGATGCGTGACAATGCAACAAGTATTCCTTTGGATCTCTTAAGTCCTTTATAACAATGGGATTTAGGGTTAGATTCCTTAGAATTGCGTATATCGAAAAACACCTTAATGGAAATCTGTTGAAAAAGGACGAGAGAACTCTACCACGTATGGCCTACTAGAAAATGTTAACAATGACACGGTCTTTATTATTATTATTTTCTCTTATTCTCTGAATGATTTGAGATGCACATGAATTTGACAAAGAATAAACTGGGAATACATATTAACTCATTAACTCATTGAAGATTTTTGAATTTCAGGGAATTTGTGGGTAATGAGAAAGAAAGGGACCAGTAACGGGAATACATGTTTATTTTATCTTCTTTCTACTATATGATTGTTGTTGTTATCATCAAGACAAGTAATTTTTTGAAATAACAATTCTAAAATGTGACACATGAGCATGCATTATATTTGTTAAACATTCATTTCACACAGTCGCCCTTGCAGCTTGTGTCTGAGAGAACTCACTCTGCAGACATTTGATATCTGCAAAATTAGCTGAATTTGATTACATGTTTCGTTTTTGGAGTCATTAAGTATTTTCTATTGAATAATTGAGCGTCCCGATATTTAGTGTGGTACTTTTGGTATAAAGGTATCAGTTGTTGTCCTAGGTCCTATAAACTTATACCAGCTTCCGAAGGTTTAGTATATTAAACCGGGAAGAGTGGGGCTAGAGTCAAGAGAAGATATTTTGAAAGAGCTATATAGAATATCTGGGTATGTTGACTATTTTTTTGGAAGCTCTTTAAGCACCCCAAGATTCTTAATATTTCTGGATGGACATGGTGTCCAATTTAAATGGAGAGACTACAAATCTCCTTTGATCTCATTGATTTTGGGAAAGTAATCATCCATTTAATAGATTTACGGTGCACAATCTCTTTTATGCTGAATATTCTCCTTGTTGAGAAAGCAAATAAGATAGCAATCTATATGCATAAGCTTCGTGAAAACTAACATTTGTGTTAGGTAACTTAATTATTCTATTTTATCTACAGATATCTGGTGTTCTAGATTATCTACGAGAAGCAAGGTTTGTCATTGATCCCGATGTAGATGAAGCTGGCAAGGCTATGCTAGAATTGCTTGGACAAACTGACTCAAGTGAAGAGCTTGAACTTAATGCTTTCCAGATTGCAGTTGCATGTTTGAAAATAACATCTCCTAAGGCCCTTTTAATAGAGAGAAGATCTATTAAAAAGTTACTTGAGAAAATTCATGGGAGTGATCCTAAAAAGGAAAGGATCCTCAACTACTTTTTGTTTCTTATAAAAAAGTATGGGAAAAAAGTGAACACCTACAGTGTGGAGCATAAGGATAACCTTCCAGAAGATAAATGTTCGAATATGTTTACAATTTCTCCACCCAATTTTGGTACCCATGAAACTAGTGATGAGCATAACCATGTTGGTGAGACTCAAAAAGATTCAATTGTGAGCAATGTACCTCAGGAATTCTGTTGTCCAATTTCATCAAGATTGATGTATGATCCAGTGGTCATAGCTTCTGGGCAAACTTTTGAGAGGGTATCCATAGAGAAATGGTTTAGTGAGGGACACGATACTTGTCCAATGACCCTAAAGAAATTGAAGGACCTTTATATGATTCCAAATTCTAGCATGAAAGATCTCATTTCTAACTGGTGCAGAAAGCATGGTATCAATTTGGAGGATCCCTCAGTACCGATTCAATCTTGGGACGCTTCAAATTGCAGTTCTATATCAAGCTTGAGGAATGTTTCTGCAGCCCTTTTAGATGGAAATAGTGGAAAATTCATGCTTCAGAGTGATCACAGCAGTGCATCATTTATCTCTTCTGATGCTAGCTACTGTTCAGATTCATCCCACACCAAACGAGTGGACAGCCTAAATGATGTCCGTGCTCATTTATTCTCTTCGAGTGATGATTATTTAAGATGCGAATCATTTTCGAACTTTACCCATGATATGTACTTGAGATTCTTTTCCCGGGTTTGTGAGCTTCCGTTGAATCACCAAGACAAAGCAATCAAGGATTTGGAAAGCCTATTTGTTAGTGACGAGGAGTTGTGCTATGCGATGCTTTCCAACGGTTTTGAGGAAGCACTGATGACTTTCCTGAGGGATGCATCCAACTTGCGTGATATTCATGCACAAAGAACTGGAGCTCAGATCTTTCTTGCCTTTTTGAGTAATACTAGGTACTTTGTCTTGTTAATTTGGTAGAAGTAACAGTTTCACTAAATGAATTTGTCATTTGTTATCTTTTTTCTTGAAGATTTGGCTATTTTCCTTATAATTTCAAATACAGTAGTTGTTGAACATCTGAGGTGGGAATGCATATTTTCTTGAGGGAAAGTAGTGAGATGAATTTAATTAAAGTGCATTTAATGAAACAAGAGAAAAAGTTCTGAATACTACAAACAGAAAACAAGTCCCAACATTAATACAAAATAGACTTATTTAAATGAAAAAAACAAACTTTTAACATCAATTAATTTTTTATATGTGCGCCCTAATTAACTGTCATTTGAATAAAAGCTAACTATTATGGTAGTAAGTTCCGTATGGTTCACAAAGAAATTGAGTTCTACAAGCTTCAGAGTTTGTGAAACTCATATTTGATTAAACAGGACCATGCAAATAAAATTATCAGATATATAGTATAATGGAATATGGTTGTTTATTTTGACACAATTCTTTCGTAGATAATTGTTTATTGTGTCATGTGGTTCAGTATTTATGTTTTCTGCTAGAAGAAGTGTTTTGTTATGGGGTTGAGTTAACTGCTCTCATCCATCAAGTACAATTCTTTTGGATTTCAAGTTTCCCCCTTCTCTGCATTTGAGGTGGGCGGTGGACTCTTGGTTTTTCTTCTTCTTGTTCTTCTTCTTTATTGTTGTTGTTGTTGTTGTTGTTGTTGTTGTTGTGTGGAGGTTCTTTCCTTTCTTTCTTTTTCTTCCAGCTCATATTTCCCTTTTTCGTTTATATGGGTTGGGGCTTAATTATAATGTCCAGGGGGAGGAGAACTATTTGTAATATGCTTCCTAATTAATTTCTTTTCATTTTGGTTTTTATCCTGTGTTTGCAGGGTAGAAATTCCAGCTCTGAGTGAAGACACATTTCAGTTGTTGACTTCTTTTCTTGAATCCGAGATAACCTTTGAAGCTCTGATGATTCTACAAACACTCTCCCATCATCCAAACTCCAAGTCCATTATGACAGTATCCGATCTTCCTCCTTCAATTGTAAAAATCCTCGATCATGAAGACCACAGGTTTCTTGATCTAAGCATCAAGATCCTCTTTGATATCTCATCACATACTGACCTAAGACCTCATATTATATCATCTGGATGCATACAAAAGCTAGTTCCTCTTTTGCATGATGGAAGACTGGCAGAACTTTGTTTAAAGATTCTACATAACCTGAGTGATATTAAAGAGGCTACGGTATTGATAGCTGAAACTGACGGGTGTATTGCTTCCATAGTAGAGCTTCTTGAAACTGGTAATCACGAAGAACAAGAGAACGGGGTTGCTATTCTTCATTCTTTATGCTCTCAAAGTTTGGAATACTGTCTGCTCGTAATGAAGGAAGGTGTCATTCCATCCCTTGTCAATATCTCTGTTAATGGCAATGCCAAGGGGAAAGAGAACTCTATGAAGTTGCTCCATCTTCTGAAAGATCTTCGTCTTAGTGGCAGTTTTGAGATTTCAGATCCTCAGTCTGAATCAACATCTGAACTAGCATCAGAGGAATCAGTTGACTACTGTGTAATAAAGCAACCGAGTTCTAAGTCTTCTGGATTTTTCAGGAAGAAAATGAGGTTTTTCTTGAAACCCAGAGCGGTCCCTCTCTCCTGAGCTGTTGACAAGTGACAGGTATGATAATTTTGTAAATATAGTTGTGCCCTGACCATTTGTGATGAGGCAAAAAACTAAAAAAATATTGTTGCACTGATGCAATTTTTTGGGGGAATACTTTGGAGTGATGTTATGTTCATCCCCTTGTGCTTCCCTTTAGCATATGTTGTTTGTACATACTGTTTTGATTGCTTAGTCAGAGTGTAAATTTGATTTTGGTCTTTCAACGAAGCTGTAGCTTATTGCATCTTGTTTTCTGTTATTATTTTATTGTGTTGTTGAATATGGAAATTCCCATCTCGTTGCATATGTTTTGATGTTTGTAGTAACTTTTAGTTTTGATAAATCTTTCTTATGTTATTTCCCTCTTCGTCTGGTTTTGGAGGGCAGTGTGCTCAATTATTTCATTATGGAGAAGGTAATGGAAATAGATCAAATAAAACAAAGAAGCCAAGGAAAATATAGTTAATGGTATTTTTCCTCATAGTGAAGCCACAGCTTCTAAAAGCTAGCGAGTTTGCTATTTCTAGTCTGGGGACTTCCAAGATAATTTTTTGGATTGAGCAGCAGGCTCAAAACAAGTAGACACCTTGATATACTAGGAAATCTTTTGTCTTCTCGTTGTCCTTACAATTACCAACATTTTTCTTGAATTTGAAAAACTGTTGTCGCCAAAGCAGAAACCTGAAGTCACACTCAAAAGAGATGAAATGGTAGCTCTTTGGTTTGTTATTCTTTTCTTGGAAGATCCTAAACCATTTCTAGTTTCCCCCCCCTCCATTGATAGTCCTTTGTATTTGAAGTATCTAGAGTGCAGAAAAATGAAGCTTCTATAGAAAATTTTTCCTTGTTTGGCTAGCGCTGAGGATGTCTGGATCATTTGATAGTGTAATCATAATGCCTTTGGATCCTGAGAATCTTCGACCATTATA